GTGTGTGTGTGTGTGTGTGTGTGTGTGTGTGTGTGTGTGTGTGTGTGTGTGTTTAGGCGAACTGCAGCGGTGGAATGTGTGGTTTGAGGGCAGAGGCTGGCTCTTGTGCTGCAGGGTGTGTCCAGCTTTCTGCCCGGGCTCCAAGGTTTAATGGAGCGTTGAGTCCACACGGCTTCAGTCTGTTTTAAAGGACAACTGCCAGAAACACACAGGCTGAGAAAAAAACAAAACAAAACACTTTTCATATGAAGTTTGGAGAGAACACAGAAAATCTTTGTAGGTGTGTTCGTGAGGTGTGTGGATGGGAAATGACTTTTCTCTCTCTGTAAACACACACACGGCCTTAGCTGATTTACAAAGCATCCTCTATGTGTGTGTGTTTGTTTTGTGACTGTCCTTACTTCCTCTGCGTGGGATGTACCTGGAACCATGGCCGGATTCACCTCCTAGTGCGGCCCTGGGGCAATCGGTTCTTGTTGGGCCCATATTGAGCCCCAGTGTACCGGTGCCGGTTTCATTATTTCCCCAGACATCCAGAAAGCAGCCAGGACACTAAAGACTGTTTGAGTCGTTTTTATCTTAAGATCTTAAAAGCACATGAGGACACTCAAGCTCCTCTCTGTAAAACAGGGGCCACAGGACGGAGGACCCAACATCAGTGGTGCAAATTTCTGACAAAATACTGATTAATGCATTTATGTACATGGAACTGACGTGGACTAAACCTGGGGATGGACCCAAGGCTGGTTGGTAACACAACTTATTGCTAACTGCTGCTCTGTGCCACAGGACAAACACTGACCTCCTGTCAGTGACAGTGTGTTTGTCTGTCTGAGATTTAAGTCATGTGATGTCTGCGGCGCACGAGTTCGAACCAAACCTGTCCTGTGTTTAGTTGTTATTGGATCCAAGATCTTGTCGGTGTGTCACAGATAGCGCGTGTGCTTCTCGTCAACAGTATAAGATCCTGAACGTGCCCCTGTCATCACACCTGGCGGCGAACCACTTCAACCAGCAGCAGGCGGAGCAGGAGGAGCGCATGAGGATGAAGAAACTCACCCTGGACATCAATGAGAGACAGGAGCAGGAGGACTACCAGGGTAACGCGCCATGACCGTGGTTACTGATGCATGATGAGAACAGAACCTATACAGTCATGCATTTTTAAATCACTCACCTCTTTTGTGGTGTGTGTGTGTGTGTGTGTGTGTGTGTATGTATGTGTATGTGGTTTACAGAGATGATGCAGTCCCTCGCCCAGCGCCCGGCTCCGGCCAACACCAACCGGGAGCGTCGGCCTCGTTACCAGCACCCGAAAGGTGCTCCCAACGCCGACCTCATCTTCAAGACCGGAGGAAGGTGAGACGCGAGCCCCGATTACTCAACGCTGCCGACACTCAAACCGCACAATGTGTTGGGTCAGGGCTCATCATCTTATTCTGTACTGACCCCCCCCTCCCCTCCCCTCCCTCATCAGTATCTCTTCGAACAGAGTGAAAAAGGCGAGAAATGAAGTGCGTGAGAAGCGAGACAGACAAGAGAGACAAGACAGGAGAGACAAGCAGCAGAGAAACCAGAGATATGTGACGGAGTAGACTAGAGCAGCCGCACACTGTGTGTCCATTATCACCAGAGACGAAGCTTCAGCAAGTTAATTAAAACAAAAAACACACACAGAGGAAAGCTTTTGTTGAGGACTTCCTGTTTATATTTGCACTTTAAACTGATTCTGATTTTCAGGTTCAAGTGAGATTATTTATTTTTCTTTAAAATCTCTGGAAACGTGGGAATAAAGATTACTTGAAGTTGATACTTTAACGTTAACAGCAGCTTGTGAGTCTTTCTTGCTCCTGTAAAGTGGAATGACAACACAACATATGATTAAGTCTGCAGGCATTGGTTAGATACAAATGCATGTGCACAAAAACATGAATTTTTGCTTTGGTGCTATCTTCATATTTTTTCATATTGTGGCAGGTAAACTCATGTTTTGCCACAAATGTGACTCTTATTTTGGTAAGTCATTTTTCAGTCAGTGTCAAGATATAAGATGTTGATTTTAAATTACATTAGTCAACATCTGGTCACATGATCAGGCTGAGGATCTTGTTCCAGTTTCCAGTTCTTGTCAGTTCGATATCCAGAGACAGTATAAACCGTCTCTCTCTTAAAAAGACAGCTGTGTTCAAATACTGAAAACCAATATAATCAATCAATCAAACTTTATTTGTGCAGCGCAGTTTTCATACAATGCTTTACAGATGACTGAATAACAAAAAAGGACAAAAGCCAACAATGAAATACAATAAATGTATTTAAAAAGCTATAAAACATTAACAAACAAAAAATACACACCATATATATAAGAAATGAAATAACAAATAACAGATAATATAGAATAAAATACAATTTACAATAAAGATACAATAAAATTAGTGACTAAAATAAAGTGACTCATGACTAAAAACAGTGTTTGATTTAATGAAACTCTAAATGTGTTCCTGTTGCTCAGCACCTCTACAGTAAATGTCCTGCTCTGTCCTCCAGAGACGCTGATCGGAGTCTGGGCCGGGCTGAGCGAACGAGCGAGCGAGCAAGAGAGCAAAGAACAAGCGAGAGAGAGAGAGAGAGCGAGAGAGAGAGAGAGAAAGAGAAGATCGGAGAGGAAACCGGTCCACAACGGGGAACGAGTCCTCCAGACACCCACTGATGATGCGGGAACCAGACCACACACACACCCCCCGCCTGACCTGAAAACACACATCTTACCCCGCTGAGGGGCCCGAAGCCTGAGGAGGAGAGACAAAACCGGGAGCCTGGAGGGGAGGGGGGGGTTCAGAGGTCAAAGGTCAGACAGATGGCTCTCTTTTCTTTTTTGTCTGTTGCCTGAGATGACAAAAAAAACACACACACAACTGTCCTGGACCATACTAACAATAGATGACTGAACACCGTACCGGCCGACTGATGGCGAACGGACAGGAAGGGCGGGGGGGGATGAACGGATCCCTCCCGCCGTCGCACCACTGGAGGGAAAAAGCGACTCATATTTAGGAGTTAAAAACCTGCGAGTGGGTAAAAAAATTTACACAAGACTAGCAAAAAGATACAGATTTTTTTTTTTCTCATTAGTTTTTTTGTTTTTTTTTATTATTTTGGATCTCGGGAACACGTCTGCTCGGTCTGAAGCAGCGCTGTGACGGAGACAGAAGGACGGGAGTGGCGAGGATTTAACACTGGTGTGTGTTCACAGACTGTTCGCCCAGTGACGCAGAGGAAGACGATGATGTTTTAATACAGGAACAAAATTATGAGGTTGAAAAGGTGAAAAGTGACTGATGGTTTGGTCTCTTGTTCTAGATTCAGGAGTGGTCATCACCACTTATTATTGTCAAGTAATCGATCAATCTGCAGGTTATTTTCTTAATGAAATCGTCAGAAAACACTGAAAAATGGCCGTTAAAATGTCCCTACATCTTAAGCAGCGTGTTTTAAAATGTATTAAACTTCTTATTTGATTCAACCAACTGTCAAAAAAACCCAAAATATTATAAATTAATATAAAATAATAAATTTTACTGACAAATAAAGCAAAGAAAGCATAATTTTCACATTTGAGAAGCTGGAACAGTGCATTGTGGGAGTTTTTGCTTGAAAAATTGCTAAAAAGATTAATCAGTTATCAAAACAGCAGCAATTATGTGATTGTTATTTTATCTATAATCAGTCCCAAATTATAAACTTCTATATCTAGGAAAAAGTCATTAATTTTCTGTCAGTCAACTAATTGATTAATCAACTAATCATTGCACCTCATTGCGCCTGTCACTGCCTTTATGACACTTGTAAACTGTAAATGTTCTACTGTCATAAACACCTCACCAGCACTTAACGATGTGGTAACACTATATTTAATTGGTCTGTTATTATCTGTTCTACTGTTTAATTTGTCACTAATTAGAGAGAAAATAAAACTGATCTGACGGCAGTTAGTTAAGTTTAGATGTTAATCAGAGCTGAATCGATTGACAGATAAATACTCAGATAATAGATTAATCATTTGTCTTTTTTTTTGGGAGGGTTTGGATTATTTTTAATTATCAAATTAATCTGCAGTTTATTTCCTCAGTTAAATCGATGAATTGTTTTGGGGTAAATAAAACACCAGAACTGCAGAGATAAAAGTCGGAGCTCGAGTGCTGAAACTAAAAACACATTTTGTTCTGGAAAAGTTTCTGTTTCCAGTCTTTGTGCTAAGCTAAGCTAAGCTAACTGGCTGCTGGTCTTAGCTTCACATTTACCTGAGCAACATGATAGTGGTGTCGGTTTCTCACTCACTTAGCTACAAATGGAGCAGGGAAACATGAGCGAAAAAAAAAAAACTGTTTACTGCTTTAAAAACAAAAAAAACAAAAAAAAAAACTCTGAAAATCTGAATCAACCAGACCAGAGTCTGACTCCATCAGACGCTTTCCCCATTCTCGGCCTCGTTCACACTCCTTGAAGATCTGAACCTCGGCGTCATGTGACCTGCTCACACTGATGGACCACCTGAGTGTACAATAATCGTTCCACTTTTTCCAACTTCTGTCTCATTAGGATGTTTTTTTTTTTTTTTCTTGTTGTTTTTTTTTTCTCCAGAATCAGGAGCATCTAAGAGTTAGTTTTGACAATATTCAGCCTTGCTTTGAATTTGGATTTGTGTAGTGTAACGTGTTTTTTTTTTTTGGACAAATGGATAACCGTGTGCCTGAGAGTCTTCGCTTAGTGACGACAGTGACTATATTTTAGATTCATTTTATATCTGTGGAGCCTGTAGATGGATAAATGTGTTCTGTATTCTGCTGCAATGGGCCTTTTTCTGGCACCACTCTGTGCTTTCTTAGTAAAAGCGTCCGACAGTTGCTCTAATCTAGTTTGTCTGTGTCTAGATTAAAAAAAAAAAAAAAAAACTTATTCGTGTTTTTCCTGCAAGCAAAAGAAAACAGTAGCAGCTTCCAGCTTTTTGTTGTTTCGGCTCATGGGACAGAAATTTATCACAATAAAATATTATGAAGACGATGTCTGTGAATCACGGTCAGTCGTGTGTCGATGGCGTGTGCTGTTTGAGAGGGTGCGGCCTGTTTTGTCAAGGTCTAATTAAAGGCAGCAAAACATAAGTATTTCCTCAGTTCTGCTCCCTGCCTCTGAACGCTGCATATGAGGACACTGCTAAACATCATTAACATCGTACGGGGGCCCAGAGGGGTCAAATTAGTTTGTTTCTTTTTGACCCCCGTTACGAAACCAATGAGCACTGAAGAGAAAGAAAAATTAATTTTGATAACTGATAATGATTGTTATTTAATCAAATGTGAATATTAACTAAAATTCCAGTTTTCTATAATAATAAACTCAAAATTGTTTTGTTTTTTCACTTTTTTGTCAAAAAAAAATTAATTTGAATATATCTACTTGAGCTTCAGGGAAATAAGGATTACATATTTCACTGTTTTTCTAACATTTTATCACCGAACAATCAGTTATCAAAGACAATAACTGTCAGATGACAATAATAATAAATCATCTTCTATGATGAATGTTTACTATAAGT